TACAACCTAGAATCACCTACCCAGCAAAACTGAGTATAATCCTTCAGGGTAAAAAATGGTCATTCAATGAAATAAAGGACTTTCAAGCATTCCTATGGAAAAGACCAGAGCTGAATAGAAAATCTGACCTTCAAATACAAGACTCAAGTGAAACATGGAAGAGGTAAACTGGAAAGAGAAATCATAAGAGACTTATTAAGGTTGAACTGTTTACATTCCTGCAGGGAAAGATGATATTTGTAACTCATGAGTCCTTTGTCAGTATTAGGGTAGTGGGAGGGAAAAAATTATACGTTTGTAGCGATAGATAGCGAGAGGACACAGGGTGAGTTGAAGACGAAGGGGTGATATCTGGAAAATAAAATTAAGGGTGGGAGAAGATTATATTGGGAGAAGGAGAAAGGGAGAAGTAGAATGAGGTAAAATATATCACATGAAACAGACAAGAAAAGACTTTTACAGTGGAGGGGAAATGGGGGAAGGTGAGAGGGAATGAGTGAATCTTATTCTCACAGGATTTGGCTTAAGGAGGGAATAACATACACAATGGGGTATGGAAACTTATCTTACTCTACAGGAAAATAAGGGGGGAAGGGGACAAGAGAGCAGGGGGTTGATAGAGGGGAGGGCAGACTGGGGGAGGAGATAATCAAAAGCAAACACTTTCGAGGAGGGACAGGGTCAAAAGAGAGAATAGAATAAATGTGGGGTAGGATAGGATGAAGGGAAATATACTCAGTTTTTCACAACAGGACTACTATGGAAGTGTTTTGCGTGACTACACATCTACATAACCTGTATCGAGATGCTTGCCTTTTCAATGAGGGTGGGTGGGGAGGGAGGAAGGGAGAAAATTTGTAACCCAAAGTTTTAAAAACACATGTTAAAAATAAAAAAAAAATTTTAAAAAAAGAAAAAAGGTACTAAGGAGCAAGATGAATGGCACTTTGACAAGCAGTTAGACATTGCAGTTCTCTAGGATATCTCCTAGCAAGAATTACGAAGGACTGAACAAATATGAAAACAAGGGGAACTTTTCAGGGACATTTAGAGTACACACAGTATTTATTTGTGCTCAACTAAGTTAACTCATCTATGATATAATGCAGGACTTAGAAGAGTGAAGGTAAAAGGGTTCAAAGAATGCCTCTATACTCTCCAGGTTATCAGGAAGAAGGGTTTCATTGTGAAAAAAAAAAGTAAAGAAAAGAAAAAAGCATCTGAAGAGGTCGAGGGGACCATTCCATCCTGTGTTGGGCAGTGGGAGAGTGGAAATTATAACTCAGGATGAAAAGGAAGGAAGAACATTGAGCTCCAAGTTAAATAGCAGATACGAGGATCTTCTAAATGAGGAAGAAGCTGGTCATCTTTCCAAGGAATAACAGTGTGGATCTATAACTGCCATTAGGATAGAGATCATTCATTAAGACTCAGAGCAAGAAAAGATGAGTAGTGGTGGCTGGTATATTCATGATGAAAGGTACCAAGTTGTCAACATTATAACAACAGAGCAATCTGCTGTCTTGAGGGATACATGTCCAAGACATGACAGAGAACTAAAAACTAGAATATTACTATGCACTTCTGATAATTCACATGGAAACAAATGATATTGCTAGAAGGATTCTAGAAGAATGCTAATAGATATCTCCACCTGAATATTCCGTTGGCCTGTCCAAAACAACTCATCTGCTCCTTTAAACATTCCTATATCTGCTACAGGAACCACCTAATAGTCACCTGCGTTCATAATCCTGGAGTCACCAGAGACTTTTGGCTTTCCTTCACCCCCATAATCATTTATAAAGTCCTGTCTATTGTAGCTCTACATTTCAACATCTCTTAAGTCTGTCCCTTACTCTTCACTTCCCAGATCATAAAACTAGTTTATGCTCTTATCACCTCTCATTTGGATGATTTTTAATAACCTTTAAAAAAAGTTTAATGGATATTTTGTTTCTTATATCACCATAGAGTTATGTATCCCTCCCTTCTTTCCCTCCCCAAGAGCTATCCCAAATGACAGATAGTATTTTTTAAAGGGGGAAAAAAAAGCAGACACAACTGATTAATTCATTGAAAAAGTCTGAAAATATGTGTAATGTGTACCACCTATGGACCTCCCACCTCATACAAAGGGTAGGAAGGGGCATCGTCTCATATCTCTTCATTTGAGTCCATTTGGATCTTCATAATTTATTCCTAGGCTCAAATGCTTCCAGGAGTTTTACCCTGTCTCAAGCATAAAATGCAAGTTCCTCAGCCTGACATTTAAAGAACTCTATAATTTGGTTCTAGTGTTATGTCACATAGCTTCTCTTTATCAACTCTATGTCCCAGTCATACTGGAGTAACAGCTGGGCCTAAAACCCAACATTCCATACCCTGCCTTGCTGTACCTCTCCTTCTGTCTCTCTAAATCTTTACCTTCCCTCAAGGTTCAGCTCAGGTGCTTTCTCATCTGTGAAGCCTCCTTTAATGCTTCCAAGTTGATTTCTCTCCCTCTTCAAAATTATCTACCATTTACTTCTTTCTGTACATGTATAATTTTGATGAGAGCATTGTACTGAATCAAATGCTTTTTTATAGAGAACAAATAATAAGTACAGTGTGGTCTTGCAGTCCCAACACCTTTAGCCCAATTTAAGATGTGGCCTACTTTAGAATATTGTTACCTGACTGCTACTTTGTCCTACATCATTGTGATGTCCTAGAACTAGTAGAGAATTCTCATAAAAACTTTTTGGGTTTTTTTTTTTTTTTGTTAGGCGACTGGGGTTAAGTGACTTGCCCAGAGTCACACAGCTAGTGAATGTTATGTGTCTGAGGCCGGATTTGAACTCAGGTCCTCCTGACTCCAGGGCCAGCGCTCTATTTACTGCATCACCTAGCTGCCCCCTCAAAGATTTTTAAGATAGGAAAGAGTAGACATATAAGTTGAAAGTTACTATTTTCTTGATTGTCTTTTGTGAGAAGTATTAACATTTGAGATCCCCTCCCCTCCAATATGCTGTTCTCTCCTTCTTCAAATTATCTTGAAAAATGATTCTTCGAAATTAAAGCTATTTATAATCATACAAAAAATGCTCTAAATCACTGATTAGAGAAATGCAAATCAAAACAACTCTGAGACACCACATCACACCTATCAAACTGGCCAACATGACAAAACAGGAAAATGATAAATGTTGGAGAAGATGCGGGAAAATTGGAACACTAATGCATTGTTGATGGAGTTATAAAGTGATCCAACCATTCCAGAAAGCAATTTGGAACTATGTCCAAAGGGCTACAAAACTGTGCATACCCTTGACCCAGCAATACCACTTCTAGGTCTGTACCCCAAAGATATAATAAAAACAGGAAAAGAACAGACATGTACAAAAATATTTATAGCACCTCTTTTTGTTTGCAAAGAATTGGAAATTGAGGAGATGTCCATAAATTGGGGAATGGCTGAATAAGTTGCGGTATACAAATGTAATGGAATACTTTTGTGCTATAAGAAATGATGAGCAGGCAGACTTCAAAAAAACCTGGAAATACTTCCATGAACTGATGCTGAGTGAAGTAAGTAGAACCAGGAGAACATTGTATACAGTAACAGCCACATTGTGCAATGACTAACTTTTATAGACTTAGCTCTTCTCAGTAATGCAAGGATCTAAGACCTTATGATTTCATAAAGACTCATGATGTAAAATGCTACCCACATTCAGAGAAAGAACTTAGGAGTCTGAATACAGATGGAAGCATGCTATCTCCTTTTCTTTTGTTGTTTTGTTTCATCTTTCTCGTGGTTCCTCCCATTAGTTTTAATTATTTTTTACAACATGACTAATGTGAAAATGTTTAATATGAATGCATAAGTCTATTTCGGACCGTCTTGGGGAAGGGGAAGGAGAGAAAGGGAGAGAAAACCTAAAACTCAAAATCTTATGAAAGTGAATGTTGAAAACTAAAAATAAATTATTTTAAAAAAATTGTTTTTTCTCCTCATGGAACCAGAATCTGTTTCTCTGCAATCTTCACCTACAATAAATGTGTCTTATAATGTTAAAAAAAAAAAAAAAAAAGATTCTTCACTGTCCTTGAGGATATCTGCTCTGTTCTTGGTTTAGCCCTGCTGTTGTTCCCATCTTTGTCCCTTAAACTGCTGCTTTGACATGATGGCACTCTCTCTGTTACAGAAATCTTGACAAAGCTTTTCCATTTTTCATATATCTGCTGTTCTCCTTTTAGTTTCCTCCTTAAGTTCTGTCAGAATGAATTGGTTTAATTTGATCTCACTGCAAAACTCTTGTGTCTCAAAATACTTTTGGGGGAAATGCTGCGCATGATCATCCATTATCTTCTTTTCTAAGATTTTTTTTTTACCAATAAGTTAATATTCTAAACTAGTATTGCCCTCGGTTTCAGTTTCTTTGCTTGGCAAGGGATCACGTGCTTGCTGGCTAAGGCTGGTCTAACTGTGGTGCAGGATTTATATTTCTCAGAAATGGCAATGATCTATGTCCATGCTTACTTTTCTTTTTTTTTCCTATTTTTCATTTTTTGGTGTCAACAGTTTGTTTGAAAAGGTCAGATTAGGGTTGCCTCAAATACATACTCTATCTTCCATTCATTCTTTCTTGAAATTTGGTATTGATTTTTATCTCTGCTCTAATAAGTAGATGGTTTGACAGTAAGCAGACAGCTGATTTAGAAATGAATTCCACCTGGGAAACCAATCATTCCTGTCTATTAGAAATGCTCGGTTTCATTGTTACATTTTCTTTTTGAAGAATGCATTAAAGATATTGATATGAACTATCTCTGCATTTTTTAAGCTTTGGCCTTGTTCCTCCCTTTATCCTAAGTATTTCACAACAAACAATAAATTAAAACTAACATTAGCTCTATAATTACAAAATATTGAATTTAAAAAAACATCACAAAATCTGAATGAGTGAGCTTCTAATTAATATACTCTAAAACACTCGTGGTTACAAAATACTCACCTTCCAAGTCTGTGATCATCACCTCTTGCTTATTCCTGAGTTTGGCCAAGTTTTTGGATTTCTCTTCTTCTTCAGCCAGCTGAGAAGAACATTCAGCGATGCGATCTTCCATCAATTTCTTTTCCTATTGGGGAATAACTGACTGCTTTATAAAAGAAATTGAAAGTGGCAAATCAAACTTTTAAAAGTGGTACCAAGCCAGTATCTTAAGCATTGGCATTACTGACATAAAAAAGGATAAGTTGCAACAAAAACTTTGAAGCTAAAAAATTAAATGTGAATCCTGACATTCCATCAATTTCTTTTCCTATTGGGTAAGTAAATCTGAAATAGTTAATGAATTAGTCAGTTTGCTAATTTCTATAACTTGAGAAGTCAAGTAGAAAGTAGGTGCAGAACAAAGAAAGAATTCAATTCAATTTAATCCATTTAGTGAGCACATACTATGTGAAAAGTACTGTGCTAGGCTCTTGAGATACAAAGGCAAAAAACAAAAACACAATCCCAGAAGGAACAATACATGAACTGAGTACAAAATAAAACTCAGGGAGTTTGCATTTAAAGGACATGCAAAAATATCTTTTTTTCAAATTTTAGACTTTAGGTGGCAACACAATAATACCTTGATAAATTTTGAATTTTGGTCCTCTAGAAGTAGAATTTCCTCTTCCATTTTCTTAATTTTGGCTTCTGCTGTGACTTTTTCCAACTGGAGCTTCTGCCGAGCTCCTTCTTCCTCATCAAGCTGCTCTTCTAGGTCCTTTATAGAAGAAGCATACTTAATACATATTTTGCTCACTTCTTCTAGCACAATCTTACTATATCTTAAAAAATAACATCTCAGAATCACAGTAAGAATAGTTATCTAAAGCCTATTAAAAGTAATATACATAGAATTTAAGATTATCTAGTTTATTTTAGATTACCAAGTTAGTATTTACTCTATTTTCAAAATTGTTTTGAACATATTCAATCTCCTTAAAGGTATTAAATGATGTGTCTCAAATTCTGACACTTGGCTAAAGATGAATCAAAAATAAGTACATAATGGAATTTGCAATTGGTTACCTTTTTTGAAGATCACCAGTCTACAAGCCCTTTAATCATCCCTATTACATTTCACATCATTTAGAATCTATAAATTGCACTTATAAATCATTGGTTGCTAATTGTACCATTGTACAAGCAGTTTTTCCCCTTGATACAATCACATTACAGTCAATACCAAAATGTTTAAAACTCCCTGTATTTACGCAGACAGCAATCTGTACATAGCTTATAGTCTGCTACCTCAGGCTCAGATAGGTTAAGTGATTTATCCATTGTCACACAGCTAGCAAGTTAGAGGTGGGATTTGAACCCAAGTCTTTCTGACTCCAAGTCCAGCTCTCTATCTACTATTCCATGCTCCTTCACAGCATTTTATAGGAAGTGAAGTCCTCACTCTTCGGGGATTCAGCATCAAATTCAGGAAGCAAACAGCTGGTATGACAATGAGATTGAGATTTTAAGACCAAGGCTTAAATATAAGAATGACTGGTTCTCAAGCAATATGGCATACACCTAGCAAAGGCTGATAAGCATGTATCCCCCAGGAGTCTTGCAAATACAGTCAAAAAGATTCTAAACTTAAAAAGAAGGGAAGGGATGAGAAAGGTGGGAAGAATGCCTATATATCCACTAAGCTAGATACTAAATAAAGTCTCTCTAATGTGGGAAAGAAAAGTAGGAGTGAAGACACAATTTCATTGGAGAAAAAAATCCAAAGGAGTCAGCAAAAAACTGCAATGATCTCAAATGTATCGCAAATGCACTAAGTACAGGCAACAAACAGGGTGAAGAGCTCACAATGCAAGAAGGCAAATCTGATCTCTCAGGTTTCACTGAGGCTTGGAATATGATGATTATAGGTTTTAAAAAAACTGTGAAGGAATATCATTGTATATAAAGAAGGTATACACATGTGAGAAAACACAGGAACCAAAAGTGGGAAACATGGTATAGAACAACAGAAACAGGAACAGAAATGATGTTTGCACTAGAATATATTTTAGATCCCTTGGAAAGAAAGCAGAAATAGATGAAGATGTTTCATCACTGTGCCATAAGAATCAATTAATAAGCACTTATTAAGCCATGCTCTAGACACTGGGGATACAGACACAACAAATGAAACAGAAAAACATGGAAAGATTTACACAATCTAATGCATGATTAAAAGAACCAAGACAATAATTACATAACTACAAAAAGGTAAAAAGAAAGAACAATTAAATGAAACTGGACACTGTGTTTATAATGAACAAGCTGGGCCCCAAAGAAAAACTGAACAAACCCACTTCTCTCCCTATACTGCAGAACTGGGGGTGGACAATGGGCATAGAACACCACATGCAGTATCAGAGAATAATGCCCATCTTCTCTGTATGTCTTGTATATGTGACCTAGTTGTTCACAAGTGGTTTCCCCCATTAGAATATAAGTCCCTTCAGAATAGGGACTGTTGTTGCCTTTCTTTATATGCCCAGTGCATGGCACATTGATGCTTAAAAATTTTTTTTGATGGATTGATGGATGTCAGTTCAGGGATTCTTAACCTAGGGTTCAAGAACTTATTTTGTAAACTATCTAGTAACTGTATTTCAGTATAATTGGTTTCCTTTGCAATCCTATGTTTTTATTTTATTCATTTAAAAACTTTATTCTGAGAAGGGGTCCATAGGCTGAATTCACCTCACTACTAATGCAGTCCACGACACAAAAAAAGTTGGGTTGGTTTTGGTGAACTGATTTTTAAAAAAACAGATAAGGAGTTTGGTAAACATCGTTAAGCTTGGAACAGGCATGAGACACTCAGGATGGTGAACTTCAATTACCTGGACATCTACTAGACCTGACTTTCTGATGAAAATTCCTTGACTTGCTTTAATGAGAACTTCATGCCCCAAAAGTGAAGGAACCAATGAAAGAACTTCTATTCTGGACCTGGTTCTCAACAAGAAGGCATGAATTGCTAGGGCAGAAATGAAGAGGGGCAAAATAACCAATTAATTTTAGAATATTTGTAATGTGGTGGAGCAGAGAAAAGTCCTCCTATGCCCTAGTCTGACATATGCCAGAGATACTGTGAGAGCAGATTTCAAAGGTTTCAGGTAAGACAGAATGGCCTAGGATTCTATAAGAGAAGTTGGCCCTGAAGGGATGGAAAGATCTTAAGAACAAAATTCTGACAACACAAAAGGAAAAGCATATAATTAGATCAATGTGGCTATACAGGGAATTTGATGAACTTAGATTTTAAAAAGATAAATACACAAGACACAAACAAAGCAATGGATGATGAAGCATGAATCATAGTGAGCTGTGTGTCAAAGAAAAATGAATACAGGAAAAAGAGTGTTTTTAGCTCTACTAGGGAAAAGGAGAAGGAAAGAATAGGGATGCTGCTTGTTGTGCATGTGATGATAACAATGGACAAAAGAAAGAAGGGAGAGATGCACAATTTTTATTTTCCTTCTGTTTTATCTGCCAAAAAGAAAGATCTCTGGATTTTAATGGTTAGGAAAAAAATTAGCCGTCGGGAGATGATAACCAACATAAGTAGAGGTATAACAAAAAGGGCCCTCCAAGCAAGTCACCTTGCTGAAATGAAAATCCTCACTGGGATGAAAGAATTTCAAGGTATTTAAAGAATCATAGGATATGATTGCTGAGACATTGTCAGAAATCTCTGAAAGATCTTGAGAGAATAGGAGAGGTACTACAGGAATGGAAAAAGGTAAATATTGTCTAAATTTTTTAAAAGGGAAAAAAAGTCTAGAAGCTATAGGCCAGTCCTGGCTTTAATTTCAGGAAAAATTCTGAAATTACAGAGATAGTAAACATCTAGAAAAGGAAGCTGTCATCACAAAAGGACAGCATTGTTTCATTAATAACAGGTGATGTTAGTCCAGTCTCAATTTTCTTTTCTGACAGGGTTATAAGACTGTAAAATTAGTGAAATTGTATTGATAGTTTTAGTAAAGTACTAGACAAATTACCTCACACTATTCTTTTGGCCAAGATGGAAAAAAGAGGGCTAAGTGATGGCACAGTTATAGCTGAAATTGTTAAATGATTAGACTAGAAGAATAATCTTTAATGCTTCAATGCTAGTTTTGAAGGAGGTCTCTAGTGAATCTTTGCTTGGCCTTGTGATTTTTAAACATTTTTTATCAATGACCTGGTAACAGCAAAAATAGAATTTTCATCAAATTTGCAGATTGTAAAAAACAAAACAAAACAAAAAAACCTTTTAGGGATAGCTAACACATTGAGTAACAGTCAGGATGCAAAATGCTTTCAAGAGACTGTAACAGTGGGCCAAATATCAAATTTAATAGAGGAAAATGTAAAGTCTTAGATTTATTGGGAGCAAAAAAAAATCACCTTCGAAATTACAGAGGAGTGGAAACATGGCTAGACAACAGTTTGTCTGAAAAAGATCTGGAGAGTTTAACATGAACTTAATAAGAGTTAATAGTATAATGTAGCAACCAAAAATGCTAATGCAATCTTAGGTTACATTATGGCACACCCAAACACACATGTATATATGTATACAAATGCATATATTCTCAACAAGAAAAAGGTGAGATGATAGATCCAGAGCTGAAAGGGATCTCAGAGGACATCTCGATCAACCTCCTCATTTTTCAGATAGGAAAACCAAGGCCCAGGAAGGCGTAAATGACCTGCCCAAGGTCACAGAGACAGTGTCAGAGAGATTAAAGATCATGTCATATACGGTTTTGCTAAAGGAACCAGAGATGCTTAACCTGGAGAAGAAAAGACTAAGGGAGGACATGAAAACTGTATTTGAAGGACTGTCTTTAGATGTATTAGATTTGTTCTATTTGTTCTAATGGGTAACTCCAGGAACAGGTTAAAGGTTTCAGAGAGGTAAATTAAGGCCTTAATATTACAAAAAAATCTCCTAATGACTCAACTATTGGAAAGTAGATGGGCTACCACTGGAAAGAGTTGGTTTTCTCTCACTTGATGCATTCAAGTTAAGGTGATGTTGGCCACCTGTCAAGTAGGTTGTAGAGAGAATTCTTGTTCAGATCTAGGTTGAACAAGATAGCCTCTGAAATCCATTCTTTTTTTTTTTTTTTTTTTTGGCAATTGGGGTTAAGTGACTTGCCCAGGGTCACACAGCTAGTAAGTGTCAACTGTTTGGTCTGAGGCCGGATTTGAACTCAAGTCTTCTTGACTTCAGGGTCAGTGCTCTATCCACTGTGTCACCTAGCTGCCCCTTTGAAGTCCATTCTAAAACTCTAGGATCCTATCCTAGTGAAATGAAACCACTGATCCATTGTGGGTAGTGGAAGGAAAGTGAGTTATTTGCTAAAATGGTGGTGGTCTGAGAGGGATTCATGTTTCTTTCTTCCCAGATGAATTCCTGAAATCGTGAAAAGTACAAAGTACATAGAAAAAAAAATACCCAAATTGAGAAAACATTTATGGAATGTTGAAAAGAATGTCTACTACTACAAGGTCTTGACCTTTCATATGGAGCAGTTTAGTGTTGAAAGAGGCAGAAAAATTACTTTTGCTTAAATAAAAGGAATTACGTCTACTTGTGAAAAATGTAAGGTACTGCCTTTTTGATGGATGAACCACATAATGCCTAGAAGAAGGATAAGAAATTTGGTTTAATGAAAACTGCTAAAATGTGTGTGTAAAGATAGAGATATCAAATGGGATCTAAGCAGTTTTGGATAGAAAATGAACTGTGTCATAAACATACAGACTTAAATCACCCTGTAAAGGATATGGGGTAATGCCTTATTTGTATGGAACAATTTGATGATTTAAAAGGTCAGAGAAAGAACTTTTATTTACTAAAAACTGGATATATATGAGTATGAAGAAGCAGTTTTCAAGGACACAGAATGTGATGGATGGCTGTTCTGTGAACCAATTAATGGCTGGAGCTCCAGGGCACTGTAGTCACAGGTTATTTGCATCTAACTTTTGAGACTCAAGAAGGTAAAACTCAAATGATACAGAGCATATGTTCCCAAAATGAACGATACCGCCCCCTGGGGGGCACTGGAACAATCCAGGGGAGGTGGTAGTAGTTTGAAATGATGCAAATTTCAAAAAAACTGTTAAAGGATTAAAGAAAATAGATTTCCAGGGGGATGCTGAGTAATTTTTTTTAAAAGGAGGCAGTAGGTGTGATAAGGGGAAACCATGTAAATTACTACCTCATAAGTAAAAGGTGAGTCACTGACTAGAGGATTTTAATTTAAGCCACTGAAAGTATTTAGGCTGAGGCTGAGAGTCTATGGTGAAGAGACTCAAAAGCCTGCCAGAAGATAAGACTCAGCAGGGTTTCTAAAAGCAGCTTTTCCCAAGGTGTTTGAAGAAACAGAAGCAGCAGGAGTAGTCAGTCAGTTGACAAGAAAGCACTGGCTGCCACTTCATGACTGGATAAATTAAGATTAAAGCTCACTGGAGATAGCTTCAGCAACACCTAGAGAGGCAAAGACTCTCAGGATCACTTTTAGCTCTTTGCTACTCCCTTTGCTTTGCAAGGAAAACGCAGAAAGGGGAAGGAGGAGATGCTGAGATCTAATGGATAATACAGAATCTTTGTGAATGAAGAGCTGGCTAGGGTATGCTTACCTTGCTCAGCTATAGAGCAATGAGGACAGTCAGCAGAGAAGTGGTTAATGACATCAAAGCCTGAGGTCCACTTGTAAATTACCAATTCTAAGTACCTGGGTTTTCCGTCTTCCTGGCCAGTCTTCTAAGTGTATGTTCACTTTTCCCCATAGATATCGAGTATATTGGTGGAAGAATGTACCCCAGATTTAAATGTGGATTTATTATTACTGCATTTGCCTTAACATACGCATACTTGTTATGCTATTATTTTTCTTCATTGGTAAGTAAATGGCTATGTTTAAGAACTAGATCTAAAAATGTTATGACTGCGAGTAGATGGTTAATATAGATGGAAGAATATAGTTTTAGGCTTAAGAGCTAAAGTGATGAGCCTGGAAGGGGTGTATTCTTCATAACAGATACACTTGCAGGACCCTAAGAGAATCTGGACATAGCTTCATGATGATGTTCCTTCCTAAGTAACACTGACCTAGCCAGTGTGATGACAGGTTAGTGATATATCCAACCCAGTGAGTGAGAGGCATCCACACACCCAAGTGAGATGTGTGAGATGTTACACAGTGGGTGGACCACTTTACATTATACTACATTTTAGGGTTCTCAAGAATAAGAACTATATCTTATAATGAGATAAACATGAGGCATCAGGGTATTGTGAAAAGAGTGCTAGACTTGGAATCAGGAGAGGCCTGGGTTTGGAATCCTGACTCTGATACTTACTAGGTATTTGACCTTGGGCAAATCACTTAACTTCTGAGCCTCAGTTTCCTCATCTGTAAAACAGAGATAAAAAATACCTATAGTACTTACCTCATAAGATTGTTGTGGGGATCAAATGAGATAACATTGTGTAAATGTTTTGCTAAACTTAAAGCACTATATAAAAATCTGCTATTATTTTTAATATTTACCTTTGTACTCTAGTGTTCCACACATAGCAGGGGTTTAATAAATTTTTGTTGAATGAAGATTAAGTTAGATGACTACAATGACTAAAAAAGAGAAAGTCACGTTCATTATACAATTCCTCAAGACCAGCCAGAACTGGCACCTAGTGAGTGGGGCCTTACTTCTTCTCCATGCTGACAGGCTGCTCAAGACTCCACCTGGGGGTACCTGGAGAGCCCTGGCAGGAAGTGGTGCCAAGCAGGACCCTACTTCTACCTCCCTCTGCCACAAAAGCCACCCCAATCTTCCTTCTGATGCCCCCCTTTCCTTTTCCTTTCCTGGACAGGCCTCTCAAATCCTGCCAGAGGGAACCCAGAATCCCTTGTCCATTTTGGTCTGTAGGGCCATTCCTTGATTCCCAATGGTGGCTGCTGCCCCTGTGGGGCAGATACCATGGTGTATCCGAAGGCCTCTGGGACTTTGGAGCTAATCTCTTAGGACCTCCAGGCCTGCAGCTAAATGATCTAATTTATTTGCCCTGTAGCTAAATTCTCCTACGTATGTTTTATTCACTAATTAGGCTTCTAGAGTAGGCACTATCTTTTTTTCTTTTTTCTATCTGTATATCCAGTATTTAACATAGAGGACTTGCTTTTCATTCATTGTTCATTTGTGAGTTCATAAATGGTAAAATGTTATTTAAGAATGTAAAATACATATTTAAATTCTAAAAAATAAACACCACAACCATGTTACTATTGACTGTTACTACAGAGAAAAGAAGAAATAACTTTTGAAGACATGGTTAAAAACATCACTATCACTGAATTTCTAAATTTAACTGTAATTAATTTAAGTTAACCAACCTCTTCCTATTCGACACACACATACAAATCCACAACCACAACTTCTATTCATTCAACAAAGACACTTGGAAAACATCAAGGCCTTATTTCTTTCACTGTGCCTGAGGGGTCTAGGTATTCCAGGGTCTCAGTATGGTGCAGTTACATGTGGCTAAACAAGCTCAGGCCAAGAGGGCATATAATCCAAATCAATTCAACAAACATTCATTAAACACTGATTCTGTGGCAGCAAAAGAGATTAAAAAAAAAATAAAGATAAGAATCCAACCCTGAAGGAGCTTACACTGCTGGAAGGAATTTTAGAGAAATTGTGGGGTGGGCGCTAACTCCAGGGAGCTTGTGGAGAGCTGTAAGAATCCTGCAGCTTGTGCTGACCCAGGCCTTCAAGGTTAAAAAGTTCTTTCATAGTGATGATCTTTCAGCCACACAACCCTTTAAAGAAACATTTACAGATACCTGAATGTGCCCTTGCATTTTTTTCTTTTCATTTTGGAGCACTTGGTTTCGTTCTTCCTCCTCTTCAACCCTAGACTCCAGGTCATGAAGAATTTCTTCTAGTTCTTGTTTTTTTGCAGCTAGACGAGCTCGCATCTCCTCGGCTTCAGCAAAGAGCTCTGTTTCTGCTTGCAACTGCTCAGCAAGAATGTTCTTCTCCTCTAAAAGCTATAAACATAGGGAAATACTTAATGAAATGTCATACATCCAATCCAAAACATGCATTAGAGAGGATCGTAATAGTCCTGAAACTTCATGTCAAAGAAATTTATAACTGGAATCACAGTTACCAGTGTGCCATCAAAAGAAATTAGATTTCTAGATACATAATAATCATACTTTTCTTAGGTAATAATTATTTGTTAAATGATCGTACAAAACAAAACAATAAAACCAAGTAGACAGATATACTTTCAAACAATAAGAACTGAATTTATGAATGTCAACGTATAAAATGTTCATAAAAACTTATGAGTCAGATCTGATATCCCTTTTTATTTTTTTTGCCCACTTTCTAGACATTTACACACACACACACTTTCCCCTTTGATGTAGCTGTTGTCATTGTATTGTCTTTGTTATGCATTATTTCATATAAATTCTAAATTTCTTTACATTATTTATACTCTCAATCTTAACTATTTGAGTTTTAGAATATTGTGATCTAGAACACACCACAATTGATTCAGCCACTTCTAATTGCTGGAAATTGGCCAAAAAGATAATGCTGCTATAAATACATTGGAAGTTACAGCTTTTTCTTACTTTTTGTCTTTTTTGGGGGGGGGGGTTAGGCAATTGGGGTTAAATGACTTGCCCAGGGTCACACAACTAGTAAATGTCAAGTGTCTGAGGTCAGATTTGAACTCAGGTCCTCCTGACTCCAAGGCCTGAACTCTATCCTCTGGGCCACCTAGCTGCCCCCTTTTTCTCCCTTTTTGACATTATTACTTAGAGATGTACTCAATAAGATTACTGCATCAAGAGGTATGACTGCCATTTATGACGTTACAGTCGAAACTGCTTGCCAAAGATTTCACTTGCTTAGAATTTCACGAGCAGAGAACAAGTACCACTTCTCCACAATGAGGCCTAATTTTTTTTTTTGTATTTTAACGTGAGGTCAAACTTTGAGGTTGATTTTATTTGAATTTTTTTTGACTAGTAACGTAGAACATTTTTCAAGTGATTTCTCTTAGGTACACTCTCTGTTGATACTCTTTAAGCATTTATCCACTAGATATTGGGTTTTATCCTTAAATATATCTCACTTTATAAATTTCACACACTAAGCTTTTATTTGTTATATCTGCCAAAAAATACCTTTCCCAGTGTATTTTCCTTCTTATAGTCACTGAATATTTTAATTGTACATTAAGTCCTCAATTTTATGTAATAGAGTTCATCCTGTTTCTTCAACTTTGTTCTGTTTCTTTAGTAGATAAACTTTTCTCCCATTGACAATGAGATATTGTATACTTTTTATACTACCTTTTAAAAGTTATTTTTGGGGCAGTTAGGCGGCACAATGGATAGAGCAAGGGCCTTGGATTCAGGAGATCCTGAGTTCAAATCCAGATGCAGACACTTGATACTTAACTAGCTTGTGTGACCCTGGGCAAGTCACTTAATCATGACTGCCTTGCCAAAAAAAAAAAAGATATTTCTTAAAGTTGCTGTAACAGATAGTGTTTAATATGAAATGTGGTTTTAGGCATATAAGTTTTACATTACATGGTTATCTAATCTTCCTAAATATATTAAATAACTCTTTCCTCGGTTTTTTATAGGTATGTCATTCTTACATGTAAATAATTCTCTCTTCTGCTTCATTGATATGATTTTAATTTTTTTGTCTAATACCAGCTAGCCTGAGTACAAGCCTTATGTACCTCTCCCCACCAAACCTCACGCTCTCATTGACATTCTTGCCCGTATGATCTTCTATATAGTATCTGTTTTAATTAGTTCTATTTGGAAACTCATATTTTGATTGATACTGTATGAAAACTATAAATTTAGGGATATTGTAATTTTTATTATCTGAATTTTAGTCATCCATGAACACAAGCATACAATTTTGTAACACTCACAAAAGTGTCTAGATAAGTTAATTCCCAAGTATTTAATGTTTTATTATTTTAAAACTCTTTAATTAATTAATATATATTAGGGGCAGCTAGGTGGTACAGCATATAGAGTGCTGGGCCTGGAGTCAGGAAGACTCATCTTCCTGAGTTCAAATCTGCCCTAAACCACTTACCAGCTGTGTGACTCTTTTTTATTCTGTTCAGGAGAGATGCACCGGAGTTAACTGGTGCTAGTTTGACCACAGACTAGATAATCATCCAATAAATGCTTAGAGTTACAGGTGATTTTTATGAACAGAGAGGAAAAACAGGTTAGAGAAAAAGAGAAGTAGATTTTACCCTTTTAATGTGGGAGCTCAGGAGAAAAGCTAGACAATCGGCTCAGTCTTCTAACCACCTCTACATTTGGATTCTAATTGCTTTGGAATATAGTTATAAAACTCTTACCTTTAATAAAATAATAATGATTATATTTAAAATAAACATGGGGAATCATCATTCAGTAGTAAATGACATTTTTTCTTTAATTCCAAATATCACTAGGTGAACTCATTTTAATTAACGGCAATAGCAGGGGTTTTAAGTTGTCAATGAACATACCTGTTGATGTTTCCTTTCCATTTCTTCAAGCTCTTCCTCTACCTTTGTCTGCTTCTCCTTAACTTTCAACAGCTCTTCATCCTTGGCCTGAAGCTCCTCCTCCTGGCGGGTAACTTGTAGTAGAGGCTTCACCTATGGCAAAATCAGAAATGAGTTTAACATTGTCTTTGTTTTCTTTGTCCTATTATGTAATCACACTGCTATTCAAAACCACACAAGCAACTCACCTTAGTAAAAACTCGCCACCACTGCCAATGCCGTAATTTTAGATAAGCTGCACAGTTACGCTGTAAGACTTTCAGAGCACTCAGTTGTTGCTGTTTCTTGGCAAATGCCCTTAAAATCAAAATAAAAAGAAAGAAGTATATTTATGATAATTACTGGGGCAAAATTAATAGCTTTTGGAATGACTAAGTTTTTCTGAAATAAATAACATAATATGATAAATTCTTTTAACTTAATGTGGTCAGAGAAGAGGATTGATATTCCAGTTAATCAAATATTTTATCTCCTACACACTACACATGGTCTTAGCATGGGAAGCTGATTACTACAAATGCGTGCTACCTAACTTTGTCAAGGCCTATACATTTGCCTAAGCAATCCCTTCTTTATTCATTGTATGGGTTTTTAAAGTTCATTCCAAACTGGTAGTATTCCAATCGTTGCCGATGTTTATGACTCAGACATCATCTCCTTCCCACTTTTCACTTCAACGAGAAGCTGCCTTGTGGTCTAATCTATGTCAAAATCTCTCTCTGTAGCCAAGTACTCTCAGAGTCGCGTGTCTCCATTCTTTCTGAAGGTGAATTTCTCTACCCATGTCTTCAATCTAATTTTCTCCCACTTTTTATATATAGTACCTTGACCTTCAGTTTATCTTTTCTCTCTTTTCCAACAAACTCTATTTCTTGTTGTCCACTGTATGTTTTCCCTTATCCTTACAAAAAGCACAGGTTTGACCTATTCTGAAAATTTTTGCTTGACCTCAATGTCCCTTCTAGCTATTGCGCTATTTTCTCTGTCTGCTGAAACTTCTTGAACACGTGATTACTCTCCACTGCCTTTATTTCCTCACGATCCACCTTCCCCCTAGAGCTCTACAATCCATTTTCCACCTCCAGTTCATGCCTCTGAAACTACTCTCTGAAATGTCATTTTTGACTTTCTAATTGCTGAAAGCAACGGTCTTTTTCTTCATTTCCTTGACCTCTCTACAATATTTTACACTATCTTCCCTCTACTTGGAACTCCCCTCCTATGGTTTCTATCCTGGTAGACTTAAAATCACCCTTAAAATCACCTTATGTTTCCTCTGATGATTGCTCTCCCTTCTCACATTCCATAAATGTAGGTGTTTCCCCAAGGTCATTTGTTCTTTTCTTTTTGAAAATTACTCCTGTGGCTTCACATAAGACCAAAATCTCCATATGCAGCCCTGACTTTTCATTCAATGGTCCTGAAATCTTCTACTGCAGATTTACTCTACATCTGTACTTAGATAACTAAATGAGAACCCATTAACTCCTCACTTCCCTGATCTACCAATGTAGGTTTCCCTCCTAACTTCTCTCCATCACAATAACCTTCCTTCTTTGTTTCTCTATCTTCTACCTTCTTGAAGGCAAATAAATCCTCATGTCATGATGAGTCTTCTTCTTCTTCTTTTTTTGGGGGGGGGGGGGGGGGGGGGTGGTTGGGCAATGGGGTTAATAAGTGACTTGCCCAGGGCCACACAGATAGTAAGTGTCAAGTGTGTGGTCTGAGGCTGGATTTGAACTCAGGTCCTGAATCCAGGGCCAGTGCTCTATCTACTGCACCACCTAGCTGCCCCCTATGATGAGTCTTCTCTGAAGATTGTTTTTAACTACCACATCTATTCCCACTACTTCTTTTCTAGTTTAGGTTGTCATATTCCCTTCCTCCTAAACTCTAAAAGATCTAATGCTGGAAGGAACTCCAGACATTAATTATCTAGTCCAACCATTTTATTTTACAGATTAGGAAACCAAGATCCAGAAATGTTAAATGACTTGCCCAAGGTCATAAGGACAGTCAAGATTTGAGTTTAGGTTCCAGTTCTACAAGTCCTTCAGGACAAATCTTGTCATGCATCTATTCTACATCTAGCCCTAATACTGAACTCAAATGGATCTGTGAACACATGGATGTGAATATTCCTTCAAATGATCAAAACTCACTCATACCTACCCCATCCTGTCTAACTCCTTTTCTCTCAACCACAGGTGTCTCCTACTGTGCTGGGGCCTGCCTAGCTTTCTCTTGATATTGGAAGGGGAAGTAGTAGAAGACATGGGCTTATCCATTGTTTATCCTATGTCTTGCCACATAACTAGTTCATCTTCTTTTCCATTCAAACGCTTCTCTGATGACATCCTACTCTAAATTTAAGAACCTTCTCCAATGAACAGTGAATGGAAATGCCATAGTAAAAAGTAAATCATATCCATCAACATTCCTCTTCACATGTATCTTTATCAATCATTTGGCATTTAATCATATATGATTCTCATGGCATGAATTTTTTGTTTTGCATCATTATTTATCCTTTCCTATGTATATGTTGGCAACTGTTTAACATCTCTCCCATCTATTCCTTTCTCTCTACTCATATGGCCATCACACCTTTGTTGCCTCTCACCTGGATTATTTCAAGAGCCTGCTTAATGGCTCAAGACCCTCCCCACTCTATTTTATCCATCATATAGTTGCAAAAGTGACTCTCCTAAAGCAAAGGGTTTGAAGATGCTATTGCCACTAATTAAACTCCACTAACTTTAGGAACAAATATAAACTCCTCTATTTGGTACTTAGAACCCTTTACAACCTGGCTCCAACCTACCTTTCCAAATTTATTATACACTGTTCCCCATGACACACAGTGGTCTAGCTAAACTGGGATTCTTGCTGTTCCTCACACACAACACTCAATCTCCCATTTCCCTGCCTTTGCACAGGCTATCTCTCGTTCATGGAATATGTTTCCTTTTCAACTCTGCCTCCTAAAATTCCTATTTTCTTTTGAAGCTCAGCTCTAACACCAACTTCTATATGAGACCTTTTTCAAGCTTCTGGATCTACCCCCTCTACCTAATTATCATGGATTTATTTTATATGTACTTATATATGTGCATGGTATCTTACGTGACAGACTATAAATCCCCTAAGGGCAAAGACCGTTTTATTTTAATTTTTGTATCCTCAGTGCCTAGCATGTACTAGGTGTTTTAAAAATGCATTTTGATTCTCTTATTTACCATAATTATATTTCAGCTTCCTTGAGGACACAGATTTTATGTTATTCTTTTAGCATGTAGCACAGGGCTATTCCCTCTAAAGAAATATTTTAACAGATTATCAATTTTCAAAGAATTAGTACACTGTAAAATAAACTTAATGATAAAACCATACAAAGATTTTTAAGCCCCTTGAGGGCAGGGACCATATTATACTGATCTTCATATCTCCTCAATTTTTAGTACAGGAATCTGAATATATCTATAAAGCAATAAACATTCATTAAGTAAGCAGCCACAATGTGCCAGGAACTACGAGAATAAGAGAGACTAGTTGGTTCCTGCCCTCAAGAATCTAATTTTCTATTAGAAGATACAAGTTTACAGTTAAGTACATCTAAGACACACACAAAATAAATGCACAGTGGTTTGCTGGTGGCAGAAGTGAGGGTTAAGAGTGGAGACAAAGAACTGGGAGAATCAAGAGAGACCCCTAGAAGAAAGCTATCACGTAAGCTGAGCCATTATGGGTTATAACATCTTTGCAAACTGTAATGTGTTATATAAATGTCAATTATTATTGTTATAACATTCCATATCAACTTACTTTCTGGCTAAGTAACCTCTACAAACAGCCTGAAAAAAGATGATGATGTCAGTAATCTTTAAATCTCGTTCTTCCTCCAAGTGGGCCAGAACGCCTGCTCTGAAGAATATCTTGCTCTGTCCGATTCTGTACAAGTTAGGGTCTAATTCTAGGGCTCGGATCTAAGAGACAAAAGTTGGTTCAGTTTCTGCTACAAATAACAATGTATAATATCAAACAATAACTTAAGAGTTAAGGAAAACCTACCATTCGTTCACAAGCTTGTTTACCATCCATAAAACCTTTTGGAATAGCATTTGGGGTTAGAATCTCATATCTATAAGAAAGGTACAGAATAAAGAGAACTCAAATTAAATTTTTAGCATACATATGTTTTCATCTATTTGTAGCAACCTTTTGCCTCTAACAGGCATATAATTAAAGTATGAATGCTATATTTGGTACAACTGAAAAACTTCCCATTATAAATATGTAACAAATTATGATATGTATACTATGTATGGCCTCCCCTCCTCTACCCCCTACCTCCCACTGGAATGTGAATTCCTTGAGAGCACATGCTGGTATTCCTAGACCCTGGCACATTGGAGGTACTTAATAAATGCTTGTTGACTGATTGAAAACTTGAAAAAAGACCATGTTTAATTCTTCCTATCCCAGACTTTAATGATGATGCCAACCAAAGCCATTACTTTTTATATATTCCTAGATTATAGGGGAGATTTTATTCCTATCTGGCCTGAAAGGCCCAAAATTATTGTCATTTCTTTGGGTTAAAGCCAGAGGTAGAGAATCTGCAGTCTTGAGGCCACATGTGGCCTTCTAGGTCCTTCGGTACAGCCTTTTGACTGAGTCCAAGTTTTGCAGAACAAATTCTTTTATTAAGAGGATCTGTTCTGTGAAGTTTGGATTCCATCAAAGAGCCATACGTAAGGACACTGGGGGCCACATGTGGCCTCAAGGTTGCATGTTCCCCACCCCTAAGTTAGACAATAAATTTAAGGATAATGAATCCAAAAGTAGTAGTAACTTAAAAATATGATATTTATGTAGAGTTTTATAACATATAAAACACTTTCACATATTTTATCTCATTTAATCCTTACAATAATCTCATGGAGTAGACATTGTTATCATCACTTTATATACATGGAATCTGAGGCTCAGAAATTTTACTTATTTGCCAAAGTTTGCACAGACTGAGATGGCCTTTGAACCTAGTCTTTTGATTTCCAAAACTAATCCTCTTACTATGATAATTATCATAAAATAAAAATGGTTCTAAAGATGAAAAGAATATGGGAAAAAAATAAGCCTTTGGACAGCAATAGGGGACAAATACATCACAGCAAGAAAGGTGTGTCTTCGTTAATAGATGCCACTGAAAATTTAAATTTTTTTTTACAATTTAAAAAATTTTACAATTTAAACTTACAGTTCTTTAGGGGCTAGCTTATTAGATATTAAACTTATTTTCCTGTTGTTTTCCCTTCAGTTATAAAACAGAGGTTTTAGACTACAAGAGACTTTCTAGTCCAGACATGATAAATATTTTGCTTTTTACCTTTGGCATACGAATGAGCCATGGGGAGAATATTCAATGAATTCAGTTTCCTGGATGCTAATCATGTCCTTTTTGTTCCAAAAAATAAAAAGTGAATATCTACTGGATTCTTCAGCATACAATGTAATTTAAATATCACTAATATACTACATCTCTGTGGGGTCTGATACAGGTTGCCAAAAAAGGCCTAAGAATCAGGGAACTCTAAATTAGGTGTTCCTTGTAAAATAATAGTTTTTGATCAATGTCTTTTAGAGCAGGGGTTCTTAGCCTGGAATCCAAGAATTATTTTTTTTAAATTATTTTGACAACTGCATTTCAATATAATTAGATTCCTCTGTAATTGTATGTAGTGTACATATTTAAAAACATTATTCTGATAAGGGGCTCACCAGACTGCCAAAGGAATCTATGACACAAAGAAGGTTAAGAAGACTCCCTAGTCTAGAGACATGTACTGTATGATCCAAAGGACTGATAACATGGGGATTTTAGGTCAGGTAGAATGAAAGAGCAGGTTATCAGTAGGCAGTCCAAGAAATGACTCAACTTGAGCACCAATCACAATAAATTTGAAGACTTATTTCCAAAGGAAAACTATAAGGAAGGAAAAAGGTAAGTGAAGAAAAATATCCTAAACAATGAAGAATTGATTTCCATCTCTGACAGTATCACTATCTACTATCCCTGCTGATGCCACCACCTTCCCTTCCCCCCCCAAAATCAGAGTTATTTCTCTAAAAGGCCAGGAAGCTAACCTTGAAACTTGATTGGCCCTGGGAACTAAAGCTCAAATCATATTTTTGCCTGTATCCTTATTGGTATGGCTTGCTGGTCCCCCAAAGGAATAAAAAGGCCTACCCACATGGAGTCTGGGCATTTCAGTCACGGTAGAAATTGTCCCAGAGACAATGATTGTTCTGTGAACCAAACATTTCCATATGAAGGCAAGGGAAGACTTGTCTACCGGAGCTAAATGTTGCCATATTCTTATTAAATGGCTTTTTCTTTTTTTTAGGCAATTAGGATTAAGTGACTTGCCCAGGGTCACACAGATAGAGTCAAGTGTTTGGTCTGAGGAAGGATTTGAATTTAGGTCCTCCTGACTTCAGGACCGGTGCTCTATCCAATGCACCACCTAGCTGCCCCATTACATGGCTTTTTGATAACTGTTGTAATTTCATTTTGTTTCAACTCTGAACCTAAACTAATAGTCCTGCCCATTATACCATCCTGACTTTGAATCTTTATATTATTCATTTCTTCTCCCTGAATCATTTTGTGATTCTCCACTCTGTTCTCTTCATTGCTTTATTTCATTCTGACTCACTTTTCTTTCTTTATATTCAGTTAAAGGTGAGACTTAAAGGTTAGAACAAAGAAGAGTTTATCTTGTTGATAGTTATTTCAAAGAGTTATCTCACTGAACTTATATTTTAAATTAATATTTCTTCCTACATATGTTGTATCTCTGCCAACCATATATTTGGGGGCAGGGACCACATGTCAACCATAATGAAGTTTCAATAAATTTTTACTAATTAACTGAATAACATCTTTTCTAAAAGACACATTGATTGCTGGTGCTTCATCTCAATATGTGTCATTCTCCAGTGCTTGAGCAGCATATTTAATCGATTCTGGGATAGGAAGAATCCCATTTAACGGTTACCTTCTCACTATTTCTTAAGGATTACCACCACTTTTTCAGTTAGGAGTGAAGCACATGTAAAGAAGTCTGAAGTCCTGGTACCTCTGTCTGAATTCCTGGAACACTATCCGGTTTGGGAACCCTTGTCGACAGATTCTAATCCCTTCCAAGACACCGTTGCAACGGAGCTGATCAAGAACTAGATGAGGATCCAGTTTTCCAGCCTAATCAAGTAAACAATAGTTTAAAAGTTGTCCTTTGTAAAATAGCACAAAATTTGAAAATTAGCACTGAGATTGACTGCAATAAAAAATGCTTATCATTTCATACATAAATATAATGTTTTACTTAGTACTTGCCCTCTTCTCATGATTGGGAATGATGCAGCGAACAAAGTTAGGGTTAGTATTTCGAAGGGTAGCCATCAGTTTAGTGAGAGATTCTTTGTACAGTTGCCCAACAGTTCGAAACATGCCCTTTTTGGTTTTATATGCTGAGCCAAAAGCAGTCTCTGTCATGCCAGTGACTTGATCCAGACCCACAATACGATCCACTGGTAAAAACAAGAAGGAAATATAAAATCAAACCAGTTATGACTTTTATCAGAAAACCAAATAATAGGACAGAGAGTAATAGAGGAGCAGCACAAGCTTCGTGAAACAGATGGTAAAGGGGGATGCCATCTAGGGAAGGCAGTCAGCATATCCAGACACTGGGCACAAGCAGTGGAATCATAAGCCACAAACTTCTATGGCAAGATGTCTTAGTGCTTTGATAACTTAATATAAATAAAGACTAACTTTTAAAAACATTAGTTATAGTCACATGAAATCCACCTTCACATTGTCACTATTTTAAATAAATTACCTTGCCTGAAACTATAAAAGCAAACTATGAAAAAAAAAAATTCAACTTACTTTCCAGAGCCCTAATATATAAATTGGCCTAAAAAAGAGCCTATGGAAAGGTAAACAGAGAATCCTTAGGAAAATAAATGGACAATGAAAATGTCCATGAATTGGAGACCACAGATTCTCTCTATTCAATCACTAGCTTTTCAGGAAGAAAAGTGACTCTGGGGAGAAGATGAATTTAAACAGCCTGGGAATATTTATATATAAATTTCTTCAAATTCCAAAAATGTTAGAAAGACTTAGATAAAGGGAAAGAGTAAGTGCTGCACAAAAATCAAAGAGCAGAAAACAAAAACAAAAACAGAAAAATGTCTTCACTTTCAATCAACTTTCTATTTCTTTAAGGGAAAACAAATGCCCGAGTTTTCCATGTGAACACTAGCTAAAATTTCTCATTGTAACTTCATCAAGAGTGATTAAAAACAGTATTAGACCTATTATGTTGGTAATGGCCCACTATTATCTATGCAAACCACTCTAATATTTACTTTTGCTGTATCCCAGATCACTAGCTAAGAAGAATATAAGTATATAGTCTCAAGTGAACAAATTTTAAAAAAAGGAATAAGGGATCCTTTGTGGATCAATTTTTTTGAAAGCCACAAACACAAGGGAAGAGTCAGTAAATATTAAAAATTTTTAAGAACTGTTTCTCTTATTCAGCTAACTGTAGCTGAATCAGTACTGATTTTCATAGCTATCTCAATAAACATCTTAAAAATAGAAAAATCAAAAAAAACTTTTGAAACCTCATAGCTTCCTTTATTAACAAATATAGCTAAGAAAGATTATGAATCAACCAAATGAACAGTTGGAAATTAAATGCACACATTGCTAATTCATGTTTATGAGTTGGAGTAATCCAAAACTTAATTTTTGACGATACGTTTAGTCTATTATTTTATGTTGAAATTATCTGTCAAGATTTGAAGTGCTAAAAGAGTGAGGATATCTGTTGTTCCTAAAAGTTTCTGGAAAAATATAATTGTTATATTAAGGCATTGTTTGGAATGGGGCAGGGGAGGGGACAAGCACATTCTTCTACTTCTGGGTTCTCAAAGAGCTTTTACTTTTATAATGATTGCTATTATTGTTATAATTATAGTCAAAGAAGGCACTTAATTAATATTTTTATTTCTGGCATTTCCTCCAACAAGAAATGTCCAAACAAAAGGTTCAATTTATTGAATCTTTTATAGTATTCCTGTAACAGAAATTCCATTCAATGAGTACTAGAGTTCTGCATGCTGGTAGTGTATGAATGAAATCTTTTGTTGTTTCAGTTATCTGCATTATATTGAGGAGCAGCCTATAGCAACAGAATCATTTTAATTTTTAACTTGGTAGTTAACCTTTTAACAAGGTAGCTTTAAATCATGGTACTTATAATGTGGAACTTTAAAAAATAATCAGCACTGCAAAAATTACTGATGCAAAAGAAAAATGTCACATTTTTTATGGTAGAACTCTGCAAATTAAAAAAAAAACACTGCTACACAGAAGTATGCTATGTGAAAAGGGGAGGTATGCCCATATGACCATCTTTGAGTAGGTAGATGGCCAGCGATAGTGTTCATTGCTATTGAGATTTCAGAGGTCTAGATGACCTTGGTTATGAGTATTTTTGACATTGAAGACTCTGTGTTTAACGTCCTTTCTACAAATTTTTTGCCTGATTATAATTGACTTTTGGCTTATACCTTGATTATATATCCATTGCTATAATGCCACTTGTCCAGCATTTTACCCTGTTTTGTCTTTTCAGTAAATAGCTTTTCAATGCAGTCCTCAAACACTAAGCAGTTAAGTAAATGTTCTGTAAGTTTTCTGAACAACTATTTCACCCTGAAAATCTGTTAAGTGTGTTTTTCTGTTGACTCCTAAGAGTCCTGCAAAGCTAAGCTTGTGTCTATGAACTGAAGTTACTATGAGACATAAAAACAGTGAGGTTATTAAATATACACTAAATATATGCATCCTATAATACAGTAAACTTATAGTGAATTATAAGTGAATAATATGTATGTGTTCATTTTGAAACATTTATAATAATAATTATGGACATTTGTTTTTCTACAAGCTTCTTTATTATCTGTTGATCTGAGGATGATGGGGGGAAGGGGAAGTGAATATGCATTTATATATCACTATGTACCAAGCACTGTACTAAACATCTTTTATAAATATTTTCTTATTTGATCCTCACAACCACCCTCAAGGATGGAATTATTAACACCATTTTACAGATGAGAAAACTGAGGCAAACAGAAGTTAAATGACTTGCCCAAGGTTGTCTAAGGTTACACTTGAATTCAGGTCTTCCTCACTCAGGCCCACTTCTAATATCAGTAATGTGTGGGTTATTTTAGGGGCAAAAAGTTCATCCCACTTTTTCTTTTTAGAGTTTGTGGGGGAGAGTCCTTTGGTGGTTTAAACCACCTTTATGGAGGCTGAAACTTATTTTATTCTCTGCCCTTGTTTTAGGCTCATGTTTCAGATTTTGTATACTTTTATCATATTATTCTGGTGACCAAATGTAGGTTCCTTGTTCAAAGGAGTTAAATTAAATACTGCTTTCCAAAATTATCATGTGGCCAGTGACAATAAACTTCATGGATCTGTGTATAAAATTTATTGACATTTCTCATTTACCTGTTGTAGTTATATTATATTATTGTGTGTATATCAGGCTACTATGTAAAATTTTTAGAAAATTTAATGTAGGCCAAAATTTCTTACATGATAATTAGCAGAATATTCAGTATAACAAACTGAAGCTACACGTTAAAATGATTATGTGTTTTGTTATATTCTACGATGCCCATGAGGTGCAGTGGGGTGGTGCTGTTGCTTTAATGGTGAAGATGCCTGGCTCTGGTGAGGTAAAAGCAAAGCCAACTACAGCTGATGATTCTGCCGTAGGTGTCATTCAGCATCTGGAGGACACATGCTTTGTTAAGAAGGGCATACAAAATCAGTTACATCTAAAAGACTTACTATATAAATCTAAAAATGGAAAGTAGTTTTTTATTTATTTTATAAAACTATGGATAGAGTAGAAACAAACTTTTCCCTGTCATAAATGGCAGTGATGAAACCTTCTTAAGGTGATGTTTTTAAATAGAGGCTCTTGTGAGAAAAAAATAATTTTCAATTATTTCAAGGGAACATAATTTTAAGAAATGCTTGTGGTTCCTTGGAAATGCTGTTATTTTCTGCATGCGTATAGTTCAAAGGTCTTCATGCTCACATTCAAATTAGGTAAATAACTTCATTTTTAGAGCTAAGTTTAATTTTGAAATTTTATTTTATTTTGAACAATTTAGATAATTCTGTTCTTTCCATTTATAAGTATAAACATTTTACTTGTTACTCAATTCTGTAATTTTTATAATTATGATATAATGATATCCTTAAAACATTTTAGACAAACACTTTATGTGCAACTTAAAACTCTAAATTTTGTTCTTCTGAGTAAAATGTAATATCAAAACTGAAGATTAAAAAAAAAAGCAAGGTTGGACATCCAATTCCAAGGACCTGGGCTTCAAAAACAATTTTAAGAAATGCAATATAAAGGGTCTTAATCTGTTAAATCTGATTTTGTGTTACCAAAACTAAATTATGTTCTAATTTTCCAAATGCATAACTCAGACCAGATCATCCTATTGCAAAAAACAATCAATCTGTAACATCTCTGCAGTACCCAGATTCCTTGACCTGTTACTGAAGAACTCCTAAAATTTCAACATTGTCTATTTAGAGCTGGAAGGGACTTCAGAGGACATCTAGTCCAACTTTCTCGGGTAAAAAAACTGAGGTAGAGGACAGGTAACTGATTTGTTAAAGGTCATACAGGCAGTGTCAGAAGTAGGGTATGAATTCCTCTGACTCCAGAGCCAGTACTTTTTCCACTGTCCCCTCAGCATATAGTTGGGTAAACTGGCCCAGATAGACTGTTAAACACCCAAGGTCATAAAGCCAGTAAGTAGAAGAGCTTCTTGGGGAAGATATAAAGGTGTCAAGAGCTGTGTCTGGACTATGAGACATGGCCAATCCTGGGTCTAGAGGTCCTCATAGATAGTGCAGAAGCTTTGAGCCCACAGACTGAGTTGCTCATGGCTTCTTTCTCCTCTAAAGTCATACCTGCTAAAGATACTGCCCATCACCTGGAAAGGGCGCCTGAAGATGGGGGGAAACTTTCCATAGCCTGGACAGGCCCATCATTCCTGCAATCAATGACCTTCAAAGAGTTAATTGTGGACATTTACCCAGGAAGAGTGAGAACAACTGAATCATACTCACAGGGATCTGTGGTTATAGACTAGGTTATAATGCTGAAAAACTATAACAGCCTCATCATTCTGCTGTTTCTATTGATTAAACCAATGATAATCAACCATGGATACTGGGGAAGGCAACTGCTCGTTACCTGAAAATTTCCACTCTGCTTCTCTTTCTTAGTGCCTCTGCAAATGGACCGCTCTCTCAGGAAGGGCCCTGACCCTACTTCATAACTCGAGGCAAGTCTTCTGATTCCAAAATAAGCACACCTCCACTGAACCATAATTCCTTCTAGATCATTTAATTTACACTTACTCCTAAATATCAAGGTCTCTCTGGCAGAAATTTCTGCCCT